AGAAATATTCCTAGTTGTTGACTTGTTTCTACACTTCAGTAAAGCATCAGAAATCAATGCATCTAGAAATATCATACTACGTACATAACTACATAAGTACAACACAAGCTCTTGAAATTTCTACATAGAACTACACTCTAGCATTAAGAAAAAGCTTTACTAATAACAAGAATCCCTCAACTCACAAAATTTATGCACTTTTCATCCCTATCAAGGTCCAAAAATACTAGCCTCTTGCAAAGAGAAGCCTGCAAACAACAATAGAAACCTTAAATATAACGGAACATGAAACAATGGCATTAATTAGAAATTCTAACATCATATAAAAATCCAGACCTTTGCCATAAAGCACCATCAAACTGTACTTAGATTAACATTGTTCTGTTCCGCGGCAAGAATCAATCTGTTTTGCTGATCTTGCTCCTCTTGAGCAGGTAAAGAACCCACTCCAATAATATTAATACTCACTTCTTGATCATTAGCAATATCAAACTCAGCAATATCCTCAGCCATTCCATTCTCATGACTATCTTCGTGATTCTGAACAATTGGTAGCCCAGTAAGGGAATCAGGAGCCACACTCAACCCATCATCCTCTACATCCATGTGAACAATGTTATTCGGAAATTGCACTTCCGCCAGTTCCTTGTTCAAAGCTGCCACAACCTCACTAGGTTTATCAACATTGTCCATATTTTCCACTTGATTCCTCACCACCACACTATTGCTTCCAATGCCACCCATTATTCCCCTCTGAACCAACAAAACCTCATTCCTCCTCATCCTCTCCTCCGCAGCAGCCATATAGGAAACATGTTCCAGTGCCTCCCTGGCGCGTTTCCTAGAAAAGGCCGCTTCCTTTACTTTCTTCTCTGCATTATCTCTTGCCGAAGCAGCTGCAGCACTCATCGAAGTTGCCGCAATCCTAGACGCTGCAAATAAAATCCTTGCGGCACTTTTATCAATGACCCTACAGTGGTCACTACTCCCAGACTTACCATCCGCATTAGGGACTTTCCTAAAGGTGAATATATCGGAATCAGGGGAAACGCAGAGGGGGCATCGGTAAGGGTTGGGTGGGGTGTGGCCCACGCACTGGGTGTGGGAGTTGGAGTGACAATCGACGCAGCTGACGACGTCTTTTTGAAATGAACGAGGCTGGGAAGGTATGTAGACGGTGAAGCAGGTGGGGCAGAAGAACTGAGGGTGGAGTTGGAGGACGCAGGTACTGCAGACCTTCATGAGATGGCCCTCTTGGCGGACGCCGTGGAGCACAAGCCGCTCCGCCTTCCTGCAACGGTCGCAAACGGTGGTGCTAGAGAAGGCGGCGACGGCGCCGGTAGATGAAAACTCTTGTCTCATCATCTCGCTTCTATCGCTCTATACGGAGATCGAACACTCGGAAATTGCGATCGCATTCATCCATAAACAGGCTTAGGTTTCAGAAATCGCCATCAAGCAATGGATTTCTTTCCCTTTTCTATGAACGATTTGGCGAACGGCGGTAGGGTTCCGACGAATCGCATCCGGGCGGGGAGAGAGAAAATTAGGGTTTCGGGGGCCGCACGGAGAGCCGGGGAGGGAAGAAGACGGTAGATGATTGGTTGGTTTCCTATTAAGTGCAGACCAGGTTCAAAATTGTACTCAAATACGGACTACAATGTTGTGACAAAAATAACTCTACTCTTTTTTCCCCTTCTAAATCATTTTCAACTCATCTAAATATATTTCACCTTGGTTTCCATGATATTGAAAATCAATGTAATGGGATGACTCGGAATGCTCCGATGCTCTATTCGTAAAATTGACGATTCATACTTTACCTAACCCCCGGTAAATCTCCTCCATCCCGCCCCGACCCGAACACGCCCCCACCCCCTTCAATTGCACCCCAACTTGATTTTGACTTTGGAGTCAAATTTTGACTCCAAAGTCAAAATCAAGTTGGAGTGCAATTGAAGGGGGTGGGGGCGTGTTCGGGTCGGGGCGGGGTGGGGGGTTTACCGGTGGGTTAGGCGGGATAGGAATCGTCAATTTTACGAATGGGACACCGGAGCACCTCTGATTCATCCCATGACATTGGGAACCAATGTCATGGGAACCAATCTCAATATATTTAAATATTTTCAATTTATAAAAAGTAAAATTTATATACATATTTAAAAAAATGCGTCAAAAAGAGTGATCATTGTCAAATAAAAAGGAGATTTTATAATGATCTTTAAACTTATCCAATTACATAATTTGACATTGTATTCACCCTCATTTTTTGGGCTTTACCTTATGACATTGTTTTGGCATTGTAGTTGTGTAATTTACACTAAGGTAGTTGACTGTTCAGCAACAAAATAAAAAATTTATAACAATGAAATCAACATTGTCAAATACACTACATTTTTTTATTTGAATTTTGTTTTTTCCTAATGTAATGGTGTAATTATTGTTTTTGAAATTAAAATAATAAGTCCCCCGTGATCCAATTAATATTAATATTCTATAAATCATCGGGCTTTCGGGTGTTCATAAGTAACTCGATTCAAGTCCACCCCTGACTACAATTGATGGAGTATTTTTTTTTTTTTGGTAATTTGAAATTTTGATGGAATAGTTTAATATTGTGTGTTTTCGTCAAAAGTAAAAATGACTGCAATTTTTTTTATTTTTATTTTTTTAATTCTTAAAGATCGTTTTGCCACTAATATTTGAAATAGATGCAGAGTAAACAGAAAAGCACCCACATACAATTGAAACAAAACACCCAAATTGCGGGAAACATTGTATACTCTATTTGAGAAATGAACTATCACGGCAGAATGAATAGATATAATTTTTGTTATCGATAGTAAAAGAAGAAAACAAGACTTATTGCCATCGAAAATAGGAGAGGATAATGCCACAATTGTTTAGAACTTATTTTTCACACGTTGATTTTTAGCTTATTGTGATTTAAATTTTATTTACCAATTCCATTCATTTTCTGTACATAAATCATTGGTAGTCATGCAGTCTTGAGAGAGACATTATCTGTCATGTGGCTAGCACCTCATCGAGGGTTTCATGACCTTTAAGCATGATACCGAAGGCGCACCCGGATCCACTTACATTGGGACCCCGTTTAGAATTGATCCAGCGGTACGTATGTGTGAGATAGCTAGCATCGGAAGATGAAAGTTCAATCCTTGATGGTGTAATGCATAAAGCCTCCCTTATTTTTTAAAAAAATTAGCTACTAGTCATGTCTCTGAATATATGTCCAGTTTTGACTTTTTCAGTCAATTATTACTTTTGACGTATAATTAAATAATATATATATATTGTATATTTATTAGATAAAATAATATTTTAAAAATATTTTATATAATAAATGTAACAAAACTATTGTTGTATTAATACTTTTTATCATTTTTATTTAATTTGAGATTAAATTTTACTAATTTTGATCAAAAAAATTAAAAATAGATAAATACAGCGAGTAAAAAAACAAGAAGATGATGACTGGTAAAGAAGAGAGAGGGGTGTAGAAAGGTGCTATGAAAGAGCATGAAGCCCACTAGGGACAGCCTTAATTCAGAAACACATATTCATGATCCTGTGTCATCGAGTTCGAGTCGAACCAGCAGATTATGATCTTTACTTTTTAATTCGTATCGAGTTTAAATTAAAAACACATCGAGTCATTTTTTAATTCTTACCAAGTTTTATTAGACTCCGCAGTATAATTGAAGTTTCTAGTCATTCATCTGTGTAACCAGTTGCATGTTCACAAGCACTACAACCATTTTTATGGAGTTGAGAGGTGGTGGACCAAAGACTAACCATAACTTTTTACGGACTAATAAATTTTAAATTTAGCCATTAAGGTTGCAATAACCTTAAATTTTAAAATTCAAAAATCTAAATTAGAAAATAGAAATTGATCTTTTGGAATATTGATATAGAGAAAATTAGAACTTAGAAGAAATTGAGTTAAACAATTAAGTAGACAAAGAAATGAAAATTAGTGAAAATCTTGCATAAATATAATTTTCCTTACGTATAAATCCCAAAAAAGAAGACAAATGAGAGCATTTAAATAGTGTGCATTTTGGCGGTTACATCTGTTTTAAAACAAAAAAAAGCATGAAGCCACAAACAACACTTTCTCAATTGGAAAACCTACAGTGCTTCGTTCTAAAAATTGATAATTCATACCGTCTAACCCTCCAATAACCCTCCCCCCCCCCCCACACCTACCCAATCCCAACCCCAACCTATTTCTCCAATCGTGTCAATTGCATCACGTAAGTTTAGTTGACCCTAAAGTCAACTAAACTTGCAAAGTGCAATTGACGTGGTTGGGGGTTGGGTTGGGGTCGAGCTTGAGAGGGGGAGAGGTGAGGAGGATAAGAACCATCAATTTTACGAACGGAGCATCGTAAGTGTCCCAAATTGGGACAGTGTCCTCCGTAGCCACTCTTTTTGAGTGTCTGTAGGACCCAGCTATAAAACGAATATGTGAAAAGAGTAGGGAAAAGGAGAGCCAGGGAAGAGGCAGTGCACGGGAAGGGTGGCAACCCTTGAGGCCGAATGACCCATCTCATGCTCTGCCTCGTCCCCGTCTACCCTCACTCCCACCTTCAATACTTACATTTTGTATTACCTCAATCAAAAAATTATATGCCTCTTGATGAATGATCCTTCAGAGCAGAGTTGTCAATAAAAACAATAAATTCGTCTTCAACTACAAGTGAAGAGATCCCAGCTTTAAATAGATGGAATATGAAATGATATGGTCGTATAGAGCAGTACAGGTTATAGTACGCACCTAAATGGTGTCAATAGTTGGAGAGTGGGAGTACACTTGTACTAATGGATGGAGTACTCAATTGTACTACTAGCAAAGAACATTTTTATCAATTGACAATGCCCTTTGTGGCTTTGTGCATTTCGGATCACGCTAGGGATTGCTCCCCACAGATGACAATCATAGATAATTTTATACATACAAAGACGACAATCATTTGTGTTTTTCACAAAAGATTATCATCTGTGTCTGTGTGTAATTGTCATCTGTGAGAGCACTCGTGGTGGGTTCCTAGCATTTTTGGCACATTTTATATGGTTATTTTAAGGGACAAAATAGTATTTTTTTCCCCACATCTTTGGTGTGAATGATCAATAAACCACCAAGTTATGACCTGCGGGCCCCGTGTGACGGAGCGGTAGTAAGTGATTGAGGAGTAGAGCGAGAGAGTAGTACGGTAGCACAAAGCACAACAACACTTCTATAACAACGGTCAAGACCTATCCGTGGACCTTACGCGGGATTCGAGAAAGAAAAATGGTAGAAAATGCAAAGTTAAAATGATTCTTATCAATGAAACATTCAAACTTGTGAGTTGAAAATATGATCTGATGTGGTAGGATGGAAATGATGATATCTTTATAAGATGACATTATTAAAACTGTCTAGGAACTCAAATCATTCCAAAGGAAACAAAAAATAAAAATTAAGCTCCTGAAACAAACAAGGCAGTGATAGTTAACAGCAAACATACCCACAGTAGGCAACAACACTATCCTTTTTTGTCATAGGCAGATATGTTTTGGGGTTCACATTCCGGGCTAAAGAGGCGAACCAGAAATGCAGTCGTAGAACTCATAGAGACCGCCCCACAAGCTGCCCATCTAAGACTTCGAGGAACGTTAATCCTCGGGCCTGCACACAATAATCGTTCACAGTATGAATCACAATTCTTCGACATATAACATTGGTCTAATGCAAATTACACATAAATGCTACAAACAAGTTCGATACAATGACTTTAGTGAAGGAAATGAAGAGGGTTTGAAAAGTATAAGTAGGACTCCACGACTTTCCGATGTTTCTAGGGGAGGAAAAAAGGGGTAAAAGACACACCGTAGTGCAAACGACACAGAACCCAAAAGCCTAAAGCTCCTCCGAACGAGAATATCCCAGCCGTATGTCGCATCAGTCGGGAACATGGCTTACAATCTGATCTCATGACCTCCCCATCAGAAAATCCACACAACTGCCGCAACGCCATGCTTTTCACCTTAGGCCTGACCTGGAACGAAGATTAATTCAAATATATAGATTAGGAAGAAGGAACCTGATTTAAATCACAGGTAAACATCACTTTGACTCAACTCCAATACCACTTCAACCCATGTCCATGCTAAAAATAATCCTTATATAGAAAATTGGTATGCCAAATGTTAGTATAATTCACAATGTCAAGCTCCAAATTGGCAATGGATGCCTGAATGCCTGGTGTATGAGTTATGTGAATTTTATTTTATTTTATTTTGCTATTATTTTTTGGGCATTGTATAACTACTTTCTTCATTGACATCCACCAAACTTCGTATAAATTATTTTAATTTTTTGGGGAAAAAGACTAAAGTAGAAGTAAAATATTGAAAATATAACAAAATAAGATTTCCGTAATTTTATTTTCGAAATAGGAGTTAAAATGCATTTACAGTATCAATAATGACCATATATATTACCCAAAAATATTGTGAAATGTCCATAAACAGTAACACATTACCACAGTGCGAGCTCGATAAAAATATGAGTGCTCTATTTTGATAGGTTCTCTATGTTTTACTCCTATTTACCTTAAATTCTTAAATTTTTAATCCTTTGTTCATTCCAAAATGTTAATCATACAGAATTCCCCCACATAATTGATAAGATTTACACGAAATTAAACCTAGCATTAAAAACATAGACATTTCTTATGTAATTTTTTTCTTAAAATCCCTAAAATAGTGTAAAATTCATTCGAAATTAAAATAATTTACATATTATTACTCCCTATTTGGTATGAGAAGTGTTTTTTCACTGACACCCAATACTATGGTATTGAATAAGTGCGGCGAGGAGCTGCAATGGGCGGCTCCGCGCGCCCTCTCCAACGCGACAGGACCGGCCATTCACCCGGCGCGGCGCCGGACGCCCCCTCCCCCCTGCAGTCGAACTCCGCCGCGCGCCGCGCCTCTCCTAGCGGCGCGGCGGAAATCCCCAATTCCCATTGTAAGTGCCCTAACAAAACATACCGGTGAAGCCTCGTGATTACCCGGCTGTTGAGAGATCTGAAGAAGAGACGGAGGTCTGGACTTGCTCCTTCTGGGTTTCCTGCCACTTCAGTATGGGATTCAACTGGTTTTTTTTTAGGGGAAAATGTTTCAAAAATAACTCAATTCGGATAACGAAGACTTTTTTTAACTTTGGATATCAAATTATTTAAAGAATGATACAAAGTTTTAAAATAATACTCAGTAAAAAATACTCCCTCTGTCCGGATTTTAAATTCCCAGTCTACTCTTTTTTTTGTCCGGAAATAAAGTTTCCAGTCTACGTTTTTATACCCACTCTTCCTAAAATACTTTTTTATCTCCCCTCTTTTTTCCCGTTTCTTTCTTCTTTTTCTTCTTTCTCTCTGTTCCTTTCTCCGCCACTCTCTCTCTCTATTCCCCCTCCCCCTTCTTTTCTTCTCCTGGTTTCTTCTTCTTTCTCCTCCTCCTCCTTTTTTCTCCCCTTTCTTTTCTCGACTAGATCTAGCTATCATCTTCCCTCTCCCCCCCCTTCTCCTCTTCTTCTTCTCATTCTTTTTCTCAAAACCCCTTATTTTTTTCAGATCTGGAAGAACGCAAGTTGCCCTGTTGTTCTTCGATCCTGCGCATATCATAGAAGAGGATTCAATTGAAGTTGTGCAGAGGAGACAATTCAAGTCCATACTCCATTTGAGCAGAGGAGTTAATTCATGATCCCAATTAAAGTTGTGGAGAGGATTCAATTCTTGAAGCCCCTTGTTTGAGCAGAAACATCGATTGAAATTTTACCCTTCTTCGATCGTGCAGATGTCCATTGTCTTTTGTTCCATAGAAATTCCATGGAAAAACGTAGGTGGAGTAAAAATTGAAATCGGATTTGTGCAGCAGAGAAAGATAGGGGTATTTTGGACAAATTGTACACAAAGTCAAATTCCACTAAAAATGAGCAAAAGTCAAACCGGGAATTTTAAATCCGGACGGAGGGAGTATCAAACTATCTAAAAAATACCTGAAAACGGAGATCAACTCGGACGAGGCCAGTGGGTTAGTCGGTAGAACCGGTCAAACCTAGGTCAACGACCCAGTCAACTATAATAAAAAAATAACATTTTATATTATATTACTAGATACTTTTAATTAATAAAAATATTTTAATTCGTATATAATATTTTAGACTTATATTGCATTGATTGAAAAGATAAAAAAATAAGGGAAAGAAATAAATTGTACCCCCTCCGTCCCAAATTATAATGCATGTTTACTATTTACAAGATCAAATTTTATTTACTTTCTTTCTCTATTTTCGTTAGCAATTTGATAAAATAAAATACTATTGTCAGTACTAGTTTTGTAGATCTTTTGATGTAGTATTTTAATATGTAATTTTTATTTTTTAACTCTATACCATTTGTCATATAAAATGATTTGAAAATAATTTCGGTCAAAGATCGTAAATTGAAACAGACGTTATAAAATATGACGGAGGGAGTAGCATATAGTATTACTCCACATATAATTAATAAATATTACTCCGCACTAAACTTTTGAAGATGAAAATAATTATTTAGGTATACAATATTTTTATTTATTTATTTCTTCTTTTGAAAAAGTAATGTTTTTTATTTGAACTAATTTAAAAGTTTAAAAAATAAATAGGGAGTATATAATAAATAGCCAATATATTATGTTTTGTAAGACATTTTAAACAAATGCCGTAGTTCAAGTGGTCTGAATTTAAGTTGAGTCATTAAAGGTTGCATGTTTGATCCCCATCCCTCTATTTCACTTTTCAAATTAAATATAAATTAGTTTTAAATCCAAACCAACAACCCGTCTAGGCTGAGTCCGAGTCAGTCACCCGGTTCGTCGGGTCAGACGGATTTGGCCGGGTCAATAAGGAAATGGGTTTGGTTAATTGATGGATTTGGCCGGGTCTGAGTCGAGGTCCAACCGATTGAACCGGCCAGTCCGATCTCTTGGGTAAGCATGCCCTTCTCACTTCTGAAATCCTTAATAATGTTTTTAAAAGTTCGATCTTGTTCATTTTGTGTAAAACCAATTATATAAAATAGTCGATGAAACTAATATCACCAACAAATTTTAGATGAGACTGCTTACCAAAATTCAAATCCCAACGAGAATGTTGAAAGAACAAATTAAAAGATTATACAATATATGAAAGGTACAACAATGTCCAAAGTTCAATTGAGATTTTCTTTACACAGCCCAAATTCCCAACTATGCATTTGTCTTTGCCGTCTTACTCTTACTTATATCTTCATAGAGTAATTTTGTTAAATAAGAGTATTTTACCTCAATTTCCCACTAAGACAGCATTCCGTTTAACTTATTTTTTCTACTTATTAATTATTCTTATTATAATTAGATCCGATCAGATCAAAAATAATTTTAATTGTAACTGCAATCAGACCTGATTAGACCCGACCAGATCTTCAAAAACTTACTCCGTAAATAAGATCAGATCAAATCAAGCGAATGGAACGCAGCCTAAAAGTGTAACTTTTTACAATAAATCAAACTTAAGTTCAAATATGAATTTATGACTTAATAAAATTTGAATCAAATATTCCCTCCGTCCGAGAGTATTTGTCCATTTTCATTTTTACACATCATCCAATGCACTTCTTTAATCCATTTTATCTTGTAATTTGTATATTAAAAAATTATAGAAATTATATATTAATAATCTATATATTAAGACAAATCAAACAAGATCACACATGACTATATTTAGACTTACACATTGAGAGAATTTGATGAGTCAAAGTACTTAGATGAACAATTCCAAAAGTTAAAAGTGAACAAAAACTGAGGGACGGAGGGAGTATAATAAGAATAAATAAGAATATTTTTTTTGTATTACCGGTACATCTGCAAACTTGCTAACCACATATTTGGTCAGGAAAAGCACAGTTAAATTAAAATGGATGAAAATGGATTTGTGTAGTTAAAGTTGTACCACAATATTCATATTCATATAGTTAGTTATCCCAATTCCCAAATGCCAAACAGAGCCTTAACATCCCTCCCCTCTACTCATCATCACTTTCATTGCCAAATGCTGATGCAACAGATACTTTCTGTTTCTTTGCCATGTTCCCAACCATCTTCTGCCCTCGAAAAAAAATCACGGAATTATTATAATTTTTCGGCAAACGACAACGAACCCAGTAATAAATAGAACCATACTTTAATTTATTAACTTGGAATTCTGAAGAATAAAAATAAATACCTTCGATTGGCTGCCTTTTGCGGAAAATCCAAACTTCAAAGTCTTCCTTTGATCTTGATCAGCAAGGGCGGTTGCAGTTCTCATTACATGGGAGGCCTGAATGGTCTCTTCTTTCTCTTGCTGCTTCTTACTGGCACCGGCCCTAGTTATATATACAAAGAAAACGAGCATCGAGAATCAATAAATGACAAAGGGCGTGTTTGGTAACTGGTGCTTGACTAAATGACTTACTCTACCGAGTTTTCTAAAACGAAAGTGTTTGGGAACATCTATTTCAGCGAAATAAGGTCAAAAACTCAATACGCACATTGAGGTTGCCAAATGAAGCCTATGTAATTCCTCCATCCCAAAAAAACAAAAGCTTCTCTTTACGGTTTACGATATTTGACTAAAAGTTATTTTCAATTCAATTTGATTAATAATTGGTATAAAGCTAAAAAAAAATAAAATATACACATTTTAAAACTATATCAAAAGTTTCACAAAACAAGAGGTGACATGACTATCATTTTATCAAATGAGTAATGAAAATATGCAAATAAAAATGATACTCTGAAGTTTTTTTTGGACGGAGGGAGGATATATTATTATCCAAAAAAAGAAAAAAACTTGGAAGAGAAATTTAAAAAAATCACTTGAAACTCTAAGATGGGTAGAAAAGGAATACATTTGAGCAAACTTAGCCATCTCTCTCTCTTGACGTTGCTGCTCACGTTTTTGTCTATCATCGCGACTGCTACTTTCGTGCATTTCTCTCATTTCTTTGAAGCGCTGCATGTAAGGATGCAAATATGTTTTAGACAAAACTATCCAAGGAACGCGGACAATAACATGATGAAATCAACTACTACACTTGCCTTTCTATGGTTGTGATCATACGAGCTAAGGTGAGCTTCAAACTCCATAGCCAATTTATATTGCTTGTTGCAAAGGTCACAAAAGAAAACCTTGTGTATTTCCTTCACCTCAGTCTGAATTTTGTGCTCTCTTTCGGCTATAACCTGGATTTTCATAATGTGCAGGAAGGAAGCAAGGCAGTAGAAGGCCACCAGGGTAATAAAAACTGCACGAAATTCTCAAGACCCTTCCAAACTTGATGTTCGGTACTTGATTTACCGTTCCCGTCAAAAGACACACACATATATGCTATATGCTGCCTTCTGTTATTAGATGTATGTTTCACAAAAAGTAAAAGATCAAACTCGATTTTTTCTACCATGCAGCAACATATTTATTTACCCTTACGGCATGTTCGGGAACTAGAATTTGGATCTCAAATCCGGATTTGGCTCAAATTTCATATTTGGCAATCTTAAATATTTGGACTTGAAACAAATTCTTCTAATTCATCACAAAGCTTAATTCCGATTCCATATGCCTCCCTTGTCATTTGAAATTCAAGAATTCAAAATTTGTAATTGAAATGCAGAAATTGAAATGAAATACTAGTTCCCAAACACTACCTTACAGATATTGATGTTATATAAAGTCATACCTCCCGTTTCTTTGCAAGTTCTTCAGTCTCCTCAACCTCAATTTCAAGCTTTCTTCTCTGGATGTTTTCTTCTGATGTAAAGAAATCATCTTCCTCTTGCTTTCCAATCCCTAGTTTTGCGTCTCGTATTCCAGACTTTATTGGCTCAATGATACCTTCAAACACCATATAGTTAAAGAATAAAATTGTACACAAAAGGTATCCCAACATAAAAGTGGGAATTGAGTCGAACGACCATAAGGATATAAATTAATGCTTCACACGTCATATGGGAAAGAGTAATACCCTGTTCATCTTTTCCAAGCCCCTTCCCCTTCCACCCCATTTTCTGAAGAAGCCTGAACCCAACATTTGACGATGTCAATTGTTTGTCTAATGATGCTTGCTCAACATTTTCTAAATCCAAATTTTCTGTTGGTCTGTGTCCGATTGGTAGCCGAAAGTCTTCTATTAGATCCTCAAGAATAGAAGCCTCATCTTCCTATGAGAAGACGAGTAAAGTTTTGTGTCATGACGAAAATTGGAAACATTTTTAATATCCTTAAAACTGCCTAACCATAATATATGTGTTGAGTCCAAGCATGACACGACATTTTAAGTGTAAACACTAAACAATTTCACCAGCATTAGAAAGCATAAAGGTATATACTAGAACAAAATATTCACTCAAGACCAAAAAGATTTAGAGCAGAAGTGGCAAGGTGTTATATTTCAATTTTCAAACAAGAAAGTTAGAGAAGTTCATAAACATCGAGACCATACCAGGAATATTAAAACAAGATTAGATCCTCAAATATCACAATTCATCAACCCTAAACTGCCTAAAGTAATGCTTGTAGAATACAAAGAAAACATAGCCATAATAATGCCATATTTCTCGAATAATAAACCAAATCATAAATTATAAAAACTAGAAACCAAGGAAAATGTGTATTAACCTCATTATGCTGCTGGTTAGGATGATGGATCCCTGTTTGACCATCAAACCATCTATTGTTCATTTGCTTATCGTCCCGAATAACACCTAAACAAATAACCAACACCCAAACAATTAACTTCCGAGAAACTGGCAAAGTCCAATCCATAAAGAATAAACAAAGGATATCAGCAATCAAACAACAAGATCCATTTTCAAAAAAAACTTGTATAGTTCTTCACTTTCTGTTTTATTGGCATCCAGATTCAATTGTCCACTTACAATATTTTTATACACAAATCTTTGGGAAATATTGAAAATAGTCATTAAACAACATATCATCATTGTTGCCATTAATGAAGAATAAGCCAATTCAAAAGATGTTTTTTGTTGTTTTATATTCATTCTTTGAATTTGATATATTCTAGAAAGCAGACAACTAAATCCGGGCAGAGGTAGTAATAGATTTAAGACAAAGTAGTTCCTTCTGTCCCAAAATTAAATTTTCGGATCGGTTTAAAATTTAATTCAATCTATTTAAAAATTGATGTAAAACTAAAAAATTATACATACACACACACACACACACACACAAACTACTTTAAAAAATCCTGTAAATAGTGAACAGAACTTATTAGACGGAGGGAATACATTCAAAGAGTCTAGTAAAATCGAAACATTCAAAGAGATGTCAAGAACTGCAAAGAACTACTGCAATTTCCTGTTTAAACCCGATTTATATTCGGGTTTTTGGGTTCAAGAAAATTGAAATCGATGAAGAATCAAATAGAGAAATTGAATATATTCGTATTCGTGAGGATAAGCGAGAAAATTACCAGGGTGCGATTATGAAGCTTAGAGGAGAGATTATGTGGAAGGCAGAGTTTTGACCCGACGGGGAGCAGAGGTCAAGAAATCAAGAATCTCGGATTATAATGAACTAATCTGGATGTAAACAAACCGGGTAGCGGCCGTAAACGGGTTTGGACTTTGGATCGCGGGGTTCCTTTTACGCCCAAAACCACCTATCTTGCTCGAGCACAACCACAATCTTGTTTTGCATTAGGAAAGAACCGGGTATATCCGAGGTATATCCCAAAGAGACGCGCACACAAATAATTTGTTCATGCGAAACATAGAGAATTGATGTTTGATGTTCTTGTTGGAAATTTTGACTCGAGACAACTTTTAACTTAAATTAGGTAGGGTTTACAAACTTATTTTTCTAAAATAATTATGGACGAATATTATTCTAAGTGATACGAGTATATTTTGATATATTGTGAGCCAAAATTGGTGCTCGGGTGAATGAAAAAAATTGCTGGGTATCCCCAAAAAACAGCACCTAGGTACCCCCCTATTTTGAGATACTAGCGGCTGGGTACCTCATATTTTAAAATGTACTCCGGGGTATCTCTATTTTGAGAAATTAATTATCGGGTAACTCAGATTTTTAAAGTATACTCCAGGATACTTCAAAATGTATATTAACTTAGCCGTGAGGGACATTCTGTTTCATTCGAAAGTTTTGATTAAATTGGATAGATTGTATTCTTAAAGTATAAGAACCAAAGTTATTTTTGGAATTTCAAACCCATATTGCTTAAAATTAATGGCGTAACTGGCTTGAACGGAGAGTGAGATGAATGTCCCTCCCTCATGGGTAAGTTAATGTATAATCAGAGGTACCCCGAAGTATATTTTAAAAATATGAGGTACTCGATAGTAAGTTTTCCAAAATAGAGGTATCTCAAAGTATATTTTAAAAATTTGAAGTACCGGACAATTAGCTTCTAAAAATAGAGGTACGCAAGAGCAGTTTGCTTGGTTTTTTTAGAAATTAGAACGGTGAATAATGAGAAGATTAATGTAAATCAAAGTAGGCCACTATATGAGTGGTTAGGACCCAAGGTTGGAATTCAAGCTTCTATAATAGCATTAGATATGGCATAAGAACCTTTTTTGGTTGGAAGCTTAGGGACAGACATACCCAATCAAATACGAGTGGAGCCGATGGGAACGGAATAAGCTAGCCACAATCTACTACGGGTGCATATATATATATACACACATATATATATACACACACACATATACAGTATGTATATATATGTATAGAGAGAGAGAGAGGTATATACAGTATGTATATACAGTATGTATATATATGTAGAGAGAGAGAGGTGAAATGTGCGCGAGTTTATGCTGATGAGCTCCCACAAATTATACTCCTTTATACCCTTTTCGGTTACTCCGAGCACTTTGTTTTATACCTTGACGCAGCATTATTTATTTGTAGGAAAAAGACTAAAGTCTGAACTAAAATATTGAAGATATTTTAAAATAAGTGTTTTATATTTTTATTTTCGAAATAAGAATTGGAATTCATTACATTAACAATCATAACAATGTACATTACGTAAAAATGTAAAATGCACATCTATAGACTATAGTGTCACATTACTACAGTGCGGACTTCTATTTAAAAAATAAAAATATGGAACCTCTTCTCTTATATTTTCTCTATGTTTTAGTCCTATTTAGGGTAATTTCTTAAAAAATTAACTATTTAATTTGTAAATGTATTTGAGCTCGTTTTGGTAAATAAAATTCAGGACTTGAAATTGAAATTTCAAGTTCAAATTTTCCAATTCCACATTTTGAATTCCATGGCAGGATTTGGAAATCAAAAAATTGAATTTTATGGGTCAAAATCAAATCACAAAGATCCTATATGAGTTATAACAAAGAAATGGGTCATAAACTAAAAAACTAAAAATTTAAAATTCAAAACTTTTTTTCTAATGCAGTACTCAATTTTTTTTATTCCCTAAATAGTACTTGAATAATATCTAGTAGCGGGAACAATGTCTAATGATGGTGGACATTTATTTGAACCATGTCTAGTGGTGATGGACATTTACTTGAACAATGATCAATGTATAATGTCCAGTGGTACTACATTGGGAAATTAAAACATATGGTACTACATTGAAAAAATCATTATATTTTAGTACTCCGTATCATTTAGGTAATGCCCCTATTTAAAATATCACATATAGATCAATTACCACCTATCGCGTGTCTACTAGTTCAAACTCTAAGAATTTAAAAGTGAAATTTTAAAAATTAAAATTCAAAATTTAGAATTAAAGATTTCAAATAAATATTTAAATATTTAAATTTAACATTTAAAATTTAAAATTGATGTTACCCTATTTTGAGAAATTTAAAAATTAAAATGATGGTTTGAATTACCCTATTTTGAGATAATTTAAAATTTAAATTGATGGTTTGAATTACCCTATTTTGAGAAATTTCCAAAATACAATTCTATATCAATTTTATATGTAGTTTTGTGTTACCAAACAACATATTTGAAATTACAATACAATTCTATATATCAATTTCTTAATAATATCTAATAGGAAGACTCCTAATATTATTTTATTTAGTTTCCTTATTCTTGTTTTACCATAATTACTTTATTCCTTTCCTACTAGAAATAGGACTCTCTCTTGTAATCCCTATATATAGGGACATATATCTCAATATTCAATAAGACAAATTATTATCAAATTGTATCATGGTATCGGAGCTTAGGTTTAAACCCTAGCCTTTTTTCGAGACTGTGCTTCACCGCCGGTCTCCTCCCTCTCGCCAGTTGACCGTAAACGGCGACCATGGCTCAACATTCAGATCTGCTTGCTTCGCTTCCTTCTGGTGTCAAGCTTCTTCTCCGCAATCTCCATAATCTTATCCCAGAAAAGCTCACCGATTCAAATTATCCTGCATGGTCTCTCAATGCCAGAACTGCTCTCGAGGCCAACCTTCTTCTTGGTTGGATCGATGGTCATGAAGCTGCGCCCCTAAAAATCCTATCAGTCCGTCTGTTCACAAGCATGCCCGCAATTTCACCACCCCTCTGCCGATTTGTGGAACGCTCTTGCTGCCCGGTATAATTCTATTTCTACCGCTCACATCTACCAACTACGGGACAAACTTCACACACTCCGAAAAGGTACTAAAACAATCACCCAGTACCTTGATGAAGTTGCCACTATCCTCACCGATTTGGATGCTCTCAACGAGGTTATTCCTCAGAGAGATGTGGTGAATGTTGTTATTCGAGGCCTCCCTCATGAATATTCCTCCTTCAAGCAAAATATACGGATGAACAATGAGAATATAAGTCTCAATCAACTCTCTAGGTGGTTGACCTCTGAAGAACTAAATCTTGAAATTGAGCAAAAATTGAGTATTGCAAATTCCGCCTCTGGAGTTTCTCACACTGCACTGTACACAAACAGCAGTCGAGGCCGCGGTCGAGGTGGACCGAACGGTCGACCGTCTTCTGGCCGAGGCTCTGGATCTGGTCGCGGCGGTCGAAGCTACGGAAGGGGGGGAGGCCGCGGACCGTCACGCGATCTTCCAGTGTGTCAGATCTGTTCAAAGCGTGGCCACTCTGCTGCTACGTGCTGGTACCACTATGATGATTCTTCTACTGATAGCAACTCAGCTACTAATTCTCGTGTTATGCATGCAACCACAACCAACCAAACTGGTGATTGGTACCTTGATACAGGTGCTAATACTCATGTTACGCATGATTTTTCACAGCTGCAAACTCCGACTCCCTACCATGGCACTAAAACTATTACTGTAGGTAATGGTCATACTTTACCCATCACTCACACAGGTTCAGGCTCAATTCACACCCCGAATGGTAAATTTCACATCCCCTCACTTAATCATGTTCCATCCCTTACTTCAAACTTACTGTCCATTCACCGCTTTACCAAAGATAATAATTGCACTCTTGTCTTTAATGCCAACTCCTTTCAGATAGTGGACAACGATACGAATCTGGTGCGGTATATGGCCCCTGTGAACATGGTCTCTATACCCTTCCTTCCATGCCTATCCATGTTGTGTGTCAAGCTGTCACTACATCCACCTGGCATCGCCGGCTTGGACAACCTGCTCCTGCTGTTGCCAAGTCTATTACATTGTGAGTCATGTCATGTGTCTAAGTCTTGTCGTTTATCCTTTGAACTCTCTGAACATAAAGCCACAGCGCCTTTTCAACTAATTCATTCTGATGTTTGGGTACCAATCTCTGTTCCATCTATCTCTGGTTTTCGTTTCTATATCTGCTTTGTTGATGATTTTAGTAAATTTACTTAGATTTACCCTCTCAAACGCAAATCTGAAGCTTACTCCGTTTTCACTAGTTTTGAAAAAATGGTTAAAACTCAATTTAATTCAAATATTCAGATTTTTTGAAGTGGTAATGGGAAAGAATTTGTAAATACAGCCTTTGGCATTTTTCTTCAAAATCTTGGGATTCTGCATCACACGTCCTGCCCTTACACCCCTGAACAGAATGGTGTTGCTGAACGCAAGCATCGGCATCTCATTGAGACTATCATTGCTTTACTCTACGATTCCCACCTTCCTGTCTCCTTTTGGGTTGAAGCCCTTGCTATAGCCAACTACCTTATAAATCGCCTACCCACAGCCACCCTAAATAACCAATGCCCCTTTGAAGCCCTCTACGGTCGGCCTCCGAATTATGTTCACCTTTGTCCTTTTGGTTGTCTTGTGTATTCCTGGCTTTGCCCTCACACACATCACAAGCTTCAACCACGTTCCACTCTCTGTGTTTTTCTGGGTTATCATCCCACCATAAAAGGTTACAAGTGTTATGATCCTATTTCTCAGAAAACGTATGTCTCCCGTTAGTTCGTTTTGTAGAAGATGAGTTTCCCTACTCTAAACTTCTATCTACCCCACCCTCCTCCAACCCCTTAGGAATCATCCCCATCTTTCCTCCCAGGCCAGGCTCACAGGGTCCGGCAACGCACAGCTCTCAAATCGTTCTGTCTGCTACTACTCCGCAAATGGTCGACCGTTCCCCTCATACATCCACCCACAGTCGACCGTCCCCTCATACATCCCAACCCCTC